TTGCCTCCTCTTGATATGAAGGTAGGAGACCGCGTCTATTTGCGTGATTTAGCGCCTAAAAAGGGTTTATCGCCTGAGCTGTTACCCTTGGACCGGACAGTTCCGAGTGATCGCTGTCAATCACCCCCATATCACCATTATGAGCATCACATCTCCACAACCAATGCCCAAGACCGTTCACATGAACCAAGTCAAAAAATGCTTTATTCTATTAGGACCATTTTTCTGTTCACCTCTCCTTGGTTCCCGGAACCAGAAGTTAATGCGCTATCCCCATTGGAGGCGCAGCTGACATTTATCCCCGGATATTCTCACACCGTGCCGCATCAAACCCAATTTGATACTGCATTACAGAAACCAGTAATCACGCATCCGTACAATACACGTTTCAGGTGCCGTCTTTCTTCATGCTGAACCAATGGAACCTCTCGAGGACCGCCAACCATTTTTTTACATCTACGTTCTTTTATATCCTCCCTCCTCTGATTTTCTCTCATTCTTTTACACCGTCGCATCTATCTATTATGATCTTTTCCTCGTTCATTGGGCACGGCCCTCGCCTGAATACTTGCGTCGCCGGGTACTTAACACGAGTACTACCGTCTTCGTTACAGAATGAATCGTCCAACTGAGGGCCTCGCATCCGCCGACGCAAACGGCAATGCCGCGGAGTCACCCGGCCGTCACTTACGTCAATCCTCTGAAACGCAACCCGACGGAGGCGCAGGTGAATTACTCTTCGATTTCACGCTGGCTCCAGACTACGAATTCGCTATCGCACTTCCAGAACGCCGCCACGTAGGCCCCGTCAACACTCGGGCTCCTGCCCACGCTTCCGATACAAACCACAATGTAGTTTCGACATCTTCGCAGTCGCCTCCCGATTAGGGCACGACGTCCGATACGAAAGCAGACACGGCAACCTCCGCGAAGGTTCGCCCAAGGTCGTCCGCCGAACCCTCACGGCCGTCAGGTTTGCCCATTGACGACTAATCGCTAATAGATACCACCCCTAGCCTAACGTCTCTTCCAGTGCCACAAGTCTTCAACGCCTGTCTCTAACCACGAGCAGCCGCAATTCTCAAACCGATAAGACATCTGCCACGCCATCTACTTCTGCCCAAAGCCGCCGCAGTGCAGACGCTTTTATAGCATACCGTGAGGCACCGTCGTCAAGCCGTCAGACGCCTCCACCGCCATCAGCTCTCCGGCGGACAGCGCGATATGGCGATACACCGCCAAACT